AACCAAGTATGCTTGTGCAAAAATTGTATCCCGCTCCAATAAACTGCTATTGCAAGTCCATGCATCAACTTTTCTGCTCACAGTTCCCTAAATACCAAGGTCTATTTAATTCATCTATTTATTTGGCAAGGCACTAACTCCTTTACCCGTCACGGGAGGCAGGGCGTGAACCTGGTTCTACAGCTGTTTGGCCAAGGCTTGCAAGAGCCCTGTACAGGAAGCCTGAGCGGTAAAAGACAACAGTAGAAAAAGCAGTTTATCCTTTATCTGCTGGTGAGGTAAATAACAAGTTATACCTGACTTCCGTTACATCATGTAATAACCAGTACAACTGCCTGAGCTTGGCATATATATTAGTATACTAGCCATTTAAGTTGAGTTAGTTGGAGAAGAGTGACAATAAATACATCCACAAAGAGCAAAAGTCTAGGTTTCAAAACTGGAACTACAAAACAGAACAAAAACCTGATCATAAACTTACTGAATATTCTTTAGGAAAAAGTAGGGTGATTTGCTAGGACATGTCCTTATTAGTGATTAACACCTTATTTCTAGTTATAAATTTGTATGCATTTCTATGTCTGTCTGATGTTTCCTGATGAATCATGTTTTTGGGATCCTCCAAGCTGGATGTGTGGCATTTGTGCTCCTTCAGGATTTCTGAATCAACATCTTCTATTTGCCACTGAATAATTTAGTGTTAACAATTTCACTTGGTGTACTTATGTATCTGAAGATTTATTACAGTAATCTTCTTTAGAGGCAGCATATGCAATAGCTCTTTTGACTAGGTTTCAGTCCCCTGCATCTTACACCGGTATTAGCTTCAGATCACTCATCCTGTGAAGGGATTCATTCCATGAAGGGAAAAAAACCCTAAAACCCTGATATAAACTCTGGATCGACTGAAATGTGATTTTGCCCTGGCTTCCTGTCAAAATTATTAATTTTTCAAGAAAAAGAAAACGAGAATAAAAAGAGCAATATAGGATTGCTGGTCTCAGAAAGCTCTGGAGCAGCGTTGTGTATTACTCAGTGTCACAGGTACATCGGTTAACAACCGAGGCAAACGCGTTGTACCGTTCCGTTGTCACACACAAAAGGTTAAACAGGGCTTGTACAACACACATATATACAGCATGCATGAGAAAAGCACTTCTGTTATGAATATGTAGTAGCAGGTGTTAAATTTACACGAAAAGAAAGTAAATCCAGAATAGCTGAAATATTATGTGTATATCATAATTGCTTCACCATTGCTTGACACAAGCATATTATTTAAAGGTTAAGTACTACACTCTGTGGTTGCATAATAATTAGCTGTACACAGTATTCCTCAATCCAGTAAGAACCCTCTGTTTCATTACAAGAACTCATCTCAGTGAACATCAAATGAACGCATGCTACTCTCCTCAAGTGGGCAAATTGAGTGAAATGTGGTTTAATTAATATGAGTCTTTTGAGCCCACAACTTCTAATTAATGTTTTCCTCCAGTTCTTTTGGGCTGTTATGTCAAATTTTTGAGTTATTCTAAAGCCTGCTGTGAAGTCCATGGGACTCTGTCTCTACAGGAAGGGAAAACAAACATATTTTGTCTACTGTCTACGTTGAGACAAAAGGTGTCATGTTTAAATTCTTATTCTATATCAAAATACCATGTGGCGTATGTTCAAAAGGCTTCTGGAATAAAATAAACATGTTACACACTACAGGTATTCTCATATCCATGATTTTCCATTTGTTGGCCTATCTCATGAAAATTTCTGTTATCAGAAGAAATTTAGAACATCGAGTAGTGTGTAGAAGTATGTCCTTGGCTGCAGTAAATTTTGCGTTCCAGATTTTTTTGGGGAAAAAAATGTAACTCTGAAGTTGTTTGTCTTAAAATACCACTTTCTAATTTCTCTGCAGAGAGAAAAGCAGTAAGTTAAAGAAGAGAGTAAATGTTTACACTTTGCTTATCCTGTCTAGGTGTATAAATCTCTAAAAGCATGTTCTTGTACATAAAGTGCTGGCAGACCCTGTGTTGCTTTACATGTCCTATTTGCAAACAATCTGGCTCCAACACTTGCCGTTATCCAAAACAGTCCTGATACGGAGAGTTGCGAAATGTTTTTAATCCTCATGGACAGATACTTTATCCTATTTCTTCTCCTTTTATGCAAAATTACCAATGCATCGCTTCTGAAGACTTGATGTGTTATGTAGCAGTTTTGCAGCAAAAGTAATTAGAGGCGTACATATAAAATATGTATGTGTAGCTACATTGATATCTAGAAAGAGTGCATGCCAGGTTATAATTTGAAATATGTCTATTAATTTCTACAAACCAAAAAACTCCCACCATTCCTTAGGTGGTATAAGAAAAACAAAAATGTTAATGAACAATAAACATTTATATTCTTCCAAAAAAGGTAGCAAATAGGAAGTACCTAATGTGAGTACCGGCTACATAAAACAGGCACCTATATAGTACACTCCTCAGATATATCTGTGATTTAAGCTAGTTCAGCCAGAAATAAGAAAAAATCTGGAGGACTTCTCTAAACTGGGGCAATTATATAGGAAAAGGATAGGAAGAGAAAATGTGAACACCTTGGCACCATTGTCCAGATACAGCTGTAAAATATCTAATGACCACTCCCTATCATTTCTAGATTGGTGAAAATGTAAAGAAAACCCAAGCTGGTTTGTTACCAGTCTTTTTATAACCCATCTAAAAAAGACAAATTTTCCCTTGAGATTTTTCTGTTAAAAATCCAGTCAAATTATTTACCTGCAGGACAGAAGGCAAATCCTTAGGGCACGATCATTTTTGTTATTCATCAAAACTGCATATAAGCATGTATTCTGAACTGTACTGAATGTATATATTCTAACTAGACTGGTATTAAATACTTCTTTTGGCTGAATTACCAAGACAGCTTTCCAGTATATTAAATTGAAATGACAGAACAATTCCAAGACCAACAATAAATTGAGAAATTCAGGCAAAAACTCATCTTGGACCATTAAAGACATCTGAAGATAAGAGTAAGAATTTTGCTGGAATTCCAGTAAAAGTAAGGAATAATAATTGGAAATGCAGCCAACAATGTTATTTTAGAACATTAAAGACATCAAAATCATGAATAAGAATCTCACTGCAATTCCAGGAAAACTACTGGGTTAGCTGTGGTATGTAAAAGAGCCATAGTGCAAGAGCTTTTGGATGTCCATCTCTCATCATCGCTGACTGTATTCAAGATGAATAGTAGTGATGTTTAGAGTTTAACTACCTCCAAAAATATCTTCTAACGTATCCACTATTAAACAGCTTCATCACCTTTTAGTAAAGTAATTTGGAAAACTCTCACTACTGCCTTTAAATATTATTTGTTGAAAGATGAAAATCAATAAGGTAGTAACCATATTTAAACATACTAGTCTCTCTTCCTCTTTCTGTTAAGCTAAATTTAGAGCCTGCCTGGCATAAAAGCACATACAAGCAGAAATATGGTCTGTTTGTTACATAGGCACATCTGTATTTTGCTTGCAACAGCTAATGGGTGAATTTACAGATCACAACATTATTTTTTCAGAAGACAATTAATTTTAGGTATTTAAAATCATGCATAATAAACATTTTGAAATGTGGTCCAGTTATTTTTTGTTACAGAAATTAGAAGCTTAATGTTTTATAGACACTCTAGTCAAGCTAAATACTCGGCTGGAGTCCTTTTATTATGGCATTTTGTTACATATCCTTAAAACACCCCACCTTTCCCATAGGAACTACTGGAACCGTATTTACAATTGATGGGATTTTGAGAAACACGGATCTTAAAAATGTTGCTGGATAAAAGAATTACTGATCTGTTTTCATCTTTCTGCATCTGAAAGTATCTTATTTAAAAGAGACAATGTATTACAGCTTTGAGGAGGGGAAGAAGGAATAAAAGAATTCTGGAAAATACATTTTCTCCAACCACCTGTCAGAGAAAAATAATGGGCTTTCAGAAAACAGATCTGTTTAACAGGAGGGAACATGCATGTCATAAGATGTTAAAAAAAAAACCCTCAATTTTGTATGAGTTATTTTGATGTGCTGCATACATGCATGTCATAAGATGTTAAAAAAAACCCCTCAATTTTGTATGAGTTATTTTGACATGCTGCATTTTTTTTTTAAAGCACATCTCACAAATTATTACATATTTTCTGAAAGGTGTTAAAGCACTTTATCATTCCCAACTCAATTTAAGGTGTCCTCAGAGTTCATATTTGTGTGAGACCATGAGTGGTAAATAGAAAAACTCGTATCAAATGACAAATCTCTTAGGTTTTCCTCAGTGAGTACAATTCATCCTCCTGCAGCTGTGAAAGGTTAGCCAAAATTGAAATCAGCTGTAGTCAGATCAGCTCTCATGGAGGTTACTTGAGAATTATCTGCTCAGAGGATGTATGAAAATTATAATTTCTGACTTAGGTTTTAGTTATTCCAGACTAGGGCAAGTTTACTGTCACCGTCTGAGTGCAGCAGGGGCAACTGGTCCCCAAGTCACTTTTTAGAAGAGGAAGATGTCTTACTAGTGACTACAATTTCTCCTTCATGTTCCCTGTCCAACAAAGCTTTTAGCAGCAAATATGATATAATGCTAATTTCTGTATACTCTATGCTCCTTCTATTTACAAAGTAGTTTTACATTTTATTATATTCCATTGTACAACTTTACATAGTACTGTTATCATTTCAATTCATAGTTCAGCAGTTCAATACACATTCAGATAACTGCCTTTCCATGTCCTGTTATACATTTAGCTTAAAAAAAAAAATAGTAGAAAATAAGCACAGTGGTGCAATGTCCAGGCACTTTCAATGTTGCTCAGCAAAAAAGCAAGCACCCTGTTTGAAAGCATAGCAACTTTTGGGAAAAAAACCACATTTGAATCTCTGCTCATCATGGATTTTTTTAAACATCCTTTGTACAGTTCCAAGTATTCCTGAGAAAGCTCTGTAAAATATGACTGATATGTTTATATTTCAGCAGTGGGTCTGAGTGAACAGTAACTTCTGTCACCAGATGTTCCGCTGATCGCACAGAAGACATGTAGGGAGTCATGCATCCATGGCGAATGCATTGTATCTTCATGGTAGATCTAGACAAAACAAAATAATCACAAATTCAGTAGAAATTTCAGTTCATCATTATAATCAAGCTGTTTAAAAAGTATGCAAAAGAGATATCCAACCTTGTCTTCAAAGCTGTTTCGCAAAGGCAGCATAACAAAGAAATGAGAAAGAAGAGTAACTTAGCAATTTCTGTAGCATTCATATAGACACTGTTCTCTGTATTACTGGATCATTTTTAATTACAATTATCCAGTATAGGAAAGAAACAATTCTCAGTATAGCAATTTTTTATTGTATCTTAGCAGTAACAGAATTCTAATAGTTTTTTTTTGGTAAGCACGGGGAGTACGTGCAGCTAAATACAGCAAACTCTTGCTACATCTGTGCCATGTGGCAAGATTTTGTACTTTAAAATCTGAAGGATGTTTTTACAGCACAGGATCTAACTGGACTGGTAGAGCTGCTCGAGAGCTCGCTGTGTATTTGTTTTTCACCTTGTGGTTCACCAGTCAACAAGTTAGTTAGCCTGAATTCATATTAGTGAAACTGAGATCGCTGGCCATCATAAACAGTTTCTGGACATCCAGTTTTCTGCCACTCTCCAAGGCTTCCTGTACCTCTCCAGCTGCAGTTTATCAATTTTTTATGTTTACATTTCCCTAACTTAAAAGATCTGTAGATAGATCACAGGTTGACTCAGTGAGTTGCCCATCTGCCCTGCCATCTCAAACTAAGTGCACTGCATGTGTTGTTTTGGGGCACTGACAAGAGTTAGAAAAGCATATGTTATTTGCAGTGAGAACCCTAAATTAATGTAAAATACTTTTCATGTTTAACTGAGTAATTTTGCAGAACAGGAAAACATGTTCCATTAAGTTTAATTTATTAGATACTTAGGTCATTTGATGGCAATACAAAGTTCAAGTCAGCAGTTACCTACATAATGTTCTACAACCATAAAGAACAGTGCTTGTAAACGGGATCTTTTAAGATGCCTTTTGATCTAACACAAGAAGAAAGTGAAAAGTGTAACCTTCCCAGTGAGCCCTTCACTTTGACATTTCAGTTGCTGTAAAATTTTGCCCATTAACCAAAGATAACAAGACAGTGGATTTGTAAATCTATCAAGATAATAAGGAGTGTGTTTTAACAATGGTTCATTATTCTAAGATAATCTTAACTATTGTACTGCGACGGTGCAGAACTGAGTGATTTGGTTTTGATTTGACTATTGTAGAATTCAGAAACCACAAAAGTTCCAGCAGCTGCATGCAAATGAAATGTCCTGGAAAGGTTTACTTGCAAACAGCTTAGAGTAAGCAGGTGGCAACTCCTACAAATGAACATCTCTGAGCAAAGTTCAGTAGTGGAGTATACATGGTAGGTAATGTACGTGAAAAAAAATGAGTGTGCTGAATGTGCAAAATTAGTAGTTTGCACGCTAAGAAAATGGTGGTCATAAGCAGAATAGCAGAGAAATGTAACAAAAGCAAGGGGGATGCAAAGGTCGCTTATTCTCAAACGGATCCTCCCTTTCACTCCTACATCAAAATTAAGCCTCATCATGAGACTCTTCCATAACATTGTACTCTTCCATTACAAGACTCTGATTTCCATAAGTCTTAGTTTTTTTGTAAATAAACCTAACTTACAAAGAGCAGCCTGGTACAGTTGTATTATTTTGCCACTTGCACATTTTTGCATTAGTTTGAACGACTGCTCAACTTATTGTGGAATTTGCCTATGTATTTTTAGTGACTTAAAATGTTGCATTTTTAATTAAGTCACACATGGACTGTATGTTGAGTAACTGGGAGATTCTGAAAACATTCCTCTAAATTTCAAGTACTATGAATCATAATGCAGTCTGTACTGTTCATTTTATGTGCTTGATACCACAGATTTACAATGAGCTTTCTTTTGTCATAATGAAGACAAAATTAAAGAGCAGAGGTATGGAGATTACTTCAGAAAGCCAGTTGTCATCTAATTTCACAGCATGATACTAGGTAGCAGTGCAACTGTGCTTTGAATCTCTCACCTCTGATGCTACTACTCAAATGTGTTTTCCTAGAAAGATCCAAGAAAACATTAAAACATAGGTCAGATAAATTAGCACAATTTTTTTAACGGTGCATATAAATAGCATGTTGGCATTAGGCCAAAATTAAAAGAAAACATCCTTTAATGAAAAATAAATTGAGAAAAAAAGGAACTTAAGCTGGATATAACTGAGGAAATGGAAATTTTGCTAGAGGATTTGGACCTGTGACTTATCATGGGATTCTTAGAAAACACAATGAAAAACATGGCACAGGATTTTTGATGACCATGGCAGCCAGGAAACTAATGGTATGTGTCAACGAAGACTCCACCCTGATGCACACGGTACACCAACACCAGGCTGAGACTTTCAATCAACAGAAACCAGTTTTAGGAATCCACCAAGTGTATCGTTTACTTTTCAGGTTCAGTTACTCGCCTTTTCTATTTAGATAAATAACATGAAGACTGATCAAGTTTTCAATTAGTTTTCAGTCAGTTTCAGCATTAGCTAGTTTTCAAGCACAGAGGACCACCTCTGTGGGTTCCTGACATGCAGTACGTGCCTGTTCATGGATGATATCAGAAAGCTCTTTCACCATATCCCGAAAGTTTGATTTTAGCCCCTCATGGTATTCCACTTGATCCTCCTTAATGAGTCGCTCGTTGAGCTCCAGAGCAATCCCACAGGCTTGTATAAACTTCCTGGAGAGGAAAGGAACAAACTTTGGGCATTACAATAGCCCAGTCTTCTAGCAAAGCAAACAACCAAACACACAGGCAAATTTCATTTTTTTCCCCCCTTTTCTCCAATGTTTGGGACAAGTCACATTCTAGGAGCATCCCTGGCACAGTGGATCAGGGAATGGGGAGAGACTGCAACACAGGTATTGGGCTTTCTGCTGGAGCTCCTTCGAGCTGGGATCCTCAGTAGGTGGGACACACGGACCTACAGTGCAACACAGTGGTCTCGCACCTTCACCCCAACCTGTAGGATCACACACAGCTTGCAGATCCCAGAGAAGCCCAACCAGTCACACATAGGGTCACAAAACAGAGGGAGGCCATGGTGAAGCACAGAGGGGTAATCAATCACAGAGGGCTTGACAGATCTGGATGTATGCGATGCAGCACATGTGCTTGAGAGGTCAAGTTGCTAACAGCAGACACACCCTCCAGAGAGAAATTTAGATCATGGGGAGCTGTAATATTATTTTCTTGGTTACTGTTACTCATTTTCTTTGCTTCATTTCACACGTATATTTTTTTCTCCTTTTTTATATACTACAATGAAAATAAAGCATGACTGGGATTTTCTGGTATTTTTTGCATGAAATAGAGATTGTGTTTGTCCTTCTGGCTGCACTGCAAGGCTGGAAAGTAAAACCGCTTTCCCTCTGTTCTGCATCCATGTGCGGCAGGTTTGCAGGGATTGTTCCCTTATTTGTTCCATGGTTTGCTAGGTTACTCAATACACTGAAGGAAAAGAGGATTGGCCCAAACGCTGCCTTCTCCATACAGTGACCGATGGGTCAAATGGGAGTCACCAGTACCCAGTCATGAATGCAGGAGCTGGTGGGCAACTGGTTGCTCCTGAGAGGTCCAGAAAATAGCGTGGCAAAGGCTCATCATCCTGAGGTGAAGCAGGAGCTGCCTGATTACATCTTGGGGGACGCTTTCAAGTGGGAGGTAACACCTACCCTAAGGGACAGGAGTTAGAAAAACGACTGTGCAAGTCACATATTTTCAAAAATTAGCAACAGAAACAAGAACAATGGTCCTCCATAAACTGGGAAGGAATTTGCTTTAAAATATTTCAAGTTCATCGTTATCTAGTAAAAAAAACCCTTTGGAAAGACTGAGAAACAATGAACAATGTGAAGGATCCCCGAACACAAGACTGTCAGACCTCTGGTTTTTAAACATACTTTCTTCACATGATAATCTCAAATACCCACACAAATTTTTGAAGCGGGCATTCAGGCAGATCTCCCCGTGGAGATCACAGCCCTGAGCTTGGGAACTCTTGACATATATAGTTACATCGGCTTTTTTCGTATGTCTGAGCACCCACAACCCCATAAGACCTGGATCTTTATAAGGCACATCTAAGTATTCAGCATCTGCTGATTCTGGAGACAGACAAAAAGATAAGCAAAGCAAGTACTGTGTTCCAGCCAGCTGGCTAGTTTTTATTACATTAGAAATCGTACCTGAACATTTCTTTTAACTCATTCACCTTCTTAGTAGGGTATTTGCTGGACTGGCTGTCACTTAGGAAAGCTCTAGCATAGGCCAAGGGACCAGCATTAACCTAGAACCAAAGAAGTGAGAAATCATTTATGCTAGAACTTCTGTTGAGTTGCTAAAGGCAGTTGTGAAGAGAATAACAGATTTTAAAAGAACCCACAACCCAACATTAGCATATTATTTGAATGCCACCAACTCTGCATTACTAATGTCACCGGAGGCACCTGAAATTTCAAAAGTCGAGCATTAGTTTTTCTATCTAGGTTCTTTAAGACCAAAACATAAACGGAATCGAGATAAAGAGAGAGATGCGATCTGTTTCCTCATACTTTCCTCTTATTTCCGTTCGGTCTGAGTCTTAAGGTCATTTATCCAGCTTGAGAAGTCAGGCTCACAAAAAGGCTATTTGTGCCTGATACTTACAGTATAATCTTCAAGAGTTAAGTATATTTCAGCATTCACCCATGGCCAACTAATGTGCAATTACACTTAGACTTGACACTGTAAACACCACTGGACAAAATGCTTATTAACCATGAGCCACCCGCTAATGTACCACTGTATGCGGCAGGGCAAGCTGTGCTGGCAGGTTGGTGGCTGCAGTGCTGCAAACGAGGTAGTTAATGATTTCTGGAAAGTAAATGTGTTGTGAAAAGATGACTCACCCTGAGACATGTACATAAATGTAATTTTCAACGGACATCAAGCCTTACCTGCACAGAAACACAGCCCTGTAATTTCAGTTGCAGCTGGATCATGTCAACATCACCCGCAGAGCAGAGTTTCTGCAGCTCTGCTGTCTTGTCTTTTATTTCATCAGTAGCGACATCAATTGGTTTTAAATTAACCTGATGTTCATAATTGACTGGAATTCTCTTCTTTACGTATGGAAAGGAGTTCAAAGCTAGCAGAAACAGCAAAGGAATTTTATAGATTGAAAAGTAATGCAGCAAATAGGAGTACTCTTCATAAAACATATACAAGTATATCCTCGCCCTCAAGGTTTTACTCCATGTGTGCGAAATCCTGAACAAGGCTATAATTTACCAGCACAATTTAGTAATTTGTAAAAATTTGTACATAGAAATAGAAGGTAAATTCCCCCTCCCAACCAGAATACTGAACCAATCACAATTCTGATTAATTAGCTGAGAGAATTTCTGACTCTTTTAGGATATTTTCATGAGCTAAAATAGTCTAAAAATAGTTGGTGATAACATACTGTCTCATGTTCAGATGCTTGTACTTACTAGTTAGAATGGTCCTTTTTTTACACTGTTCTTCCACATTGCCATGCTTTTTTCCAGATAAAGTGTAAGGAGTTTCAAATACAAATCTATTGATGTTATGATTTCTTTCAAATTCAGTTTTCCTTTCAGAGATTTCTTTGTCTTCAAAATAAGGCTTCACATAAGTGACTTGAATATGGGCATACTTAGGATCAAGGTCTTTAACGTTGACCTGTGAAATAAGAGCGCTAATCACTAGAAGAACAAAGGTTAATAACTTTAACTTATAATTGGTTAATTTATCTACTAGGATCTGATTTAAACTGATACCCTGCTGACCCAGCCCCATTGCATGCAGGTGAATGACACAACAAACACTCTCTTTGACCTCAGCTGTGATGTCTAGACCATGCACTAGCAGATACACAAGACAAGGAGGTGTAGCACAAGAAATCCCTCATCTGGTGCTAAACCAGCTGCATCTGGAACAGGTAGCCACATCACCTCATCCATCAATGCAGCACATGCTTGGGCTACTTAGTCCTAATACGATCATATTGCTTCCAGGCTATGAACTAGTGCTCATACAGCACTGTGCTGTGGCATGCAAATCTGCAGGCTTGCACAAAGCAAGCTTTGGGATCACTAGCATTGTCTTTGGTAACCCAGACATATCCATGGTTGCAACCAAAGGGTGTGAACAGCCTTTGCAGAGAGCATAAATGGGTACTCCATAGGAAAAGGAAGGAGCTATGGCTGCAAGGCCCCAAAAGATTTTCTTTTAGACTTGCAGTGTCAAAGCAACAACAAGTAACTCCGCTTCCAATCATCTGCTCCACTGTGCTGGCTCCTAACGCCTCCCAACAACAGGGCTCAGTGAGATGCAGATCGTAAATTCCCATTCACAGTTCTCAATTAATTTACTTCCACCTGGGAGACAGATCAGCACCAAAAGTTGTCAAGCTGTGCAACGTGTCCACACAGGATCATGAGGATGTGAGGGGCATTTGGAAACAAGGTGCTGGTATGAGGGTCGCTCCTCCATTCCTACTGGCAGAAGATCTCCCATCTTCAGCTCCACAGAGCAAAGCTCATCCTTCTGTGCTCCATTTGCACAGTGCTTAGAGCAGTGCAGTCCCGAGCCCTGACCAGCATTAGAATACAATCGATATTTTTGTCCATCAGTGCATTCTCTAGTATGTGGCCCTGATGTTCACTGCTAATAGCATTTCAGTAGCTTGTTCATGCAGTTTAACTCTACCTTGTTAGAATCCTGGATAATCTTTACAGTCTCCGACCCAAATTTTTCTCCATAAAGTTTAAGAAGTCTGAAGGAGATCTCTGAGAGGCCTGTCAGCTTGGGTTCTTTATAGATGTATTCCTTCCCGTCTTCTTCTTCAAAGAACGTCTAGCATTAATCACAAACAAGCAGTGAGGAATAGCTGGGTTTCTTCACTTGGAAAACTTTGTTTAGATTTGCTACTTTGAAAGCACATTTCTACTAACATTTCACAAAGTCAAGAATGTTTATGCAAAGTATGGCTGCCATAAAGTCTCACTGAACTTGGCCTGTTTAATAGGTTCCTTCAAAAATTGCGTTAAAAATAATAAAATTCCTTAACCAACACAAACATGTCATTGCTGAACACAAAGGCTTGAGTATGACCAGTGAGAAATCTAAACAATGTGGAAGATGGGTTTGGCCAGCAGTTGACTTTTTGGAAGGTTGGAAAGAGGCAAGAAGGAGAAAAACCACAAAAACAAGGCATAGAGAAGGAGCAGAAAGACACATAAGTTGAGGAACCCTTTATAGCAGAGCCACAAGAACAGTCTGAAGAGAAGGATTTTGTGTAGGCTGAAAGGGACTTCAAGCAATAAAGAAAGAAATGGGTTTCCTCTGCTTTGATGCCTCTTGTATTCAGGAAAGTGGAACTTGGTGTGTTTGCTGTAAACAGAGACAAAACTGCGTCAAAGGTCGTGCCTGCATCACCAGTCCTCCCTGCAAGGGAAACAGCATGAAAGCTTCATGCTTAGGGGAGCTGTTCCAGTCAGAAGTTGTGACAGACTGTTAAAACTATCTCTGTGTAGATGGCATACAAAGCCAGCAAAGCTTTAAAGTGCAAAACTGGATCAAGTATTGGTTATCAGGATGATAGATTACATAGCTTAATTTTAGGGGCTGATCCAGTTATTTCTACAGCTTCTAGAAAACTAAGCTAGCAGTTGTTTCCTTTTATCTATTGCTAACCTTATTTACTTATTATGGATCCAAAGTTGAACATAAGATGAGGACAAAAATAAAATGTATGTTTGCTGCAGCAAAAGTCAATGCTCCAGTGTGTTTTGTGTGTAATGACAGCGGTGTTCAAAGGTACAAACCCAAGGCAGTTTCAGGGGTATTCATCATCTTCTCTAAAAGAAGGAACGAGGAAAGGCAGGGCTAATATAATTTACATAGCATTTTCTAAAGCGGGGTCCTGCATCTCACCCATGGTTATGGATCCACAAGCAGATAGTTCAGAGACACAAGGGAGATGAGAGGTAACACACTTTATGAGATTAACTGCTATAGCTAGAGAAAAAAAACAAAACAAAACACAGCTGCTTTCAGGCTCAGAAGACTGCACCAGATACGATAAGATCATGTTCCTTCTTGGGACTCTGAGCCGCAGATCTTGTCCATTTTTCCAGCTACCTCAGCTAACAAAAAATACTATCTACCTCTACCAACTGCAGACATGTACGTAACCAACACTGATATATACTTTGTCTCTAGCTTCTCCCATAACCTTTTACTCTACTAATATCTAGAAGGGAGCAGCAATTGTCTGTAGAAGAAAATATCTGTTACGACTACTGTTTATATACTATGGTTATATACTGTTACTGGTTATATACTATACACATTAAATTGTGTTTGTGTAACTTATAATAACTATAATTACAACCCCCCCTGGTGTTTTCTGAACCCACTAAGCCATTTCCTAACTGCTGAGTTGTTTTATGAAAAGCCCACCAGCAGAATCATAAACTTTATAATATATCAAGTGCTCCTGGAGAGATAGACACAAACCCTCACTTCAAGGGTGCAATACCGAAACGTTCACATAGACGCATCAGTGGCTGCACCAGAGGAGCTAGCACGCTTTTCAGCTTCACATCTGACAGAGCAGCAGCTTTAGGGGCCAGGATGCCTGGTGAGGGGTAGCTGGTGAGCTGGTGTATATACTTACTTGTCCATAAAAGGCCACTCTGAAAAAGGTTCCAAGAAGCCTCTTCCTTGTATGCATTACTTCCAATATCTTAGCGTATGCTCCATGAAGCGTTCTGTACAGCTGAGTAAGTTTCTGGAAATCAAATCTTGACATCATTAAAGCAGAACTTTGCAAGCAGGAAATTCTAGCTAACACTGAAACTTACTGAGAGATTTGAACACAATCCTTTGGAGAATTCAAACTTGAATTTCTAAAGAGGTTGAACACACACAGTTTTCTTTGAAAAACCTCAGTCTTATGCACATGCTTAGCATCAGGTCTGAAAGGTACTGCAGACCACGATAACGTCACTACGCTTAGAGAGAAGGTTGAGCCTACTGTCTCAGCATGTTCCCTGACTGAGCCTTTACGGGTAGAGCAGCTTGCACTATTTTACCCAGAACTTCTTTTTTCATTAAAAACAGCTTTATGATGAAAAAATAAATCAAGGCTTCCCCTAGCTTCAGTTTTATAGTTGGATGCTGTCCTGATGTGGAGCGGGTGGGAAAGAGGAGCGTAGTTCAGCAGTCTCACCGAAGCATGGGTCTCAGCAGGCGTTGGGAAGGAGCAAGGCAGGGGAGGCTGGTAACAGCTTCCTTCCTTCCTCTCCACTTGCCACTGAATTACCTGCAGATCTAGTCCTTTCTTTGAACAGTTTTCACTCTGTTTTTAACCCTTAAAATGCTCAAGTCTCAAAAAGAATCTGGCTTTGATGAGCATATGGTATGATGACATCTTTATATTAGGGGAAGGAAGGTGGGAATTATTCACTAAATATGAGTCTTCCATGTCTTTAGCTTTAATAATTACCCTCCAAACCATTGCTTTCACTAATTTGTTTAATGACCAACAATGAAGCACAGAGTGTGCTTTACTGACACCGATTCATTAACTCATAACTTCAAAAATAAAAAAGCGTCCTGTTTTTTTCTTAGTGATCTAGAAAATTACCTGATATATGCAAACTAGTTCAAAATACCTACCTCAAATTCACGCCGCTTTTCATAAATAGGAATGATCAGTTTGGAAACTTCAGAAATTGTTTCATAACGCTCTGCTTTCCAGAGGCCATCTACACATTGCTCCAGCAGCTCCACCAGGACTTCCTATGAGAGCAACCAAACGGGCATTGTTAATAACAGTCAAAGTTAGAAGAGAAAAACATTTTAACTTCAGATACTTTAACAGGTCCCAGTATAAGTAGCCACAGTTACATAAACTTAAACCCTGTGTGTTCCTGGCCTTTCCAAAGGTATTCTAAATTTTTTTTGGGAAAAAAAAAAAACAACGGGCAAGTTATTTTTTAAAAGTTCATTAATGCTTAATAAATCATTGGCACAATAGCCAGCAAGTATGTCTTGGTTATTTAGCTGCCTTCCCAGGAGAATGCCAAAACTCTGGGAGGGTATGGAGATGACAGCACTGGAAGTCAGAGGTATACATCTAAGAAATTCGTCCAAGGAATATGTGTGCAATAGCAGTAGGATGTGATGCTAAGGATCCTCAAGCCCAGTCTTGATGAATGGGCAATGGGCAACTGGGCCACCTTGCTCAGCCACATGACCCACCCAACACAGTTGTACAGGATGGTGCAGAAGTAATTGTGAGACTTTGTGACTCACGGGAGGATCTAACCACTTCCCCAGTGCCCTGCTGTGGTTTCTGGATTGTTCTTCTAACATGGTGTCCTGCAGCACGGCCCTAATTCAAGGGCAACCTAAGCTGACCTCTCACTCAGCAGAGCTTGACTTGCATTCTGTCCCTCCTTGGAAATACCGTGCTGTGCTGCCCTGTGCTGGCAGATTCAGCATTTGCATAACATGGCAGGCAAAGATTGTGGTGTAGCTTTTTCAGTCTCAGTGCTAGAAAAGCCTTTCAAAGGAACCAAGAACTCACACCAGTTTTACCTCTCTGAACTGTACACAGAAAATCCTTCAACCCAGATTTCTCTGGGGAAATTGCTGCAGAACAGTCTTCCTTACACATGCCAGCGCACAACTATCATTTGTTAGAGCTCACGCGAACAAAGTCTAAAACTAAATCCTAATCAGCTATCAGTCTACACTACAGGACCTCACCTCACTGTAATGTACGTCCATCATCCCACCATCTTCTTTCATTGCACCTTCTTCATCAATGTTGGGAGTGATTTTCCTGAAGGCAGTGCATCCACTGGGGAAGAGTTCTGTAGCAGACAAAAGCAAATGGATTAGTGGAATAACATATCTCAAATGCATCATGCTTTAAGGGCTAGGGAAGCAGTCTAGCTGATGGTGAAATCCTACAAGTATCAGGGGACCTCACTCCCATTTTTGCTACTGATTTTCTATATTAGACTGAACACATCAGAACCTCCCCAGCCAATTGCCATGGGAATCATTCCTAGTACATAACCAACACCAAGCACAACAGATTTCCCAGTGTACTATCTGGAAGTCATCTTTGACCAACCTAACTGGCTGCAACCAACTGAAAGTCAGGAGAGAAGGACAATTGCACAGAACATGCAAGAAAGCTATTGCTGGATGCTGGAGAGCTGGGTGGTAAGCGAACAGGATTGTACACTCCTAGCAGAAAGCACAGTTATGTCCCCCAAAACTGAGTAGTTCAGCCTTTACTGAACCCTTTCCAGCCTACATATATGTAAAGAGTGCTGGTGACAGAGATAACACAACGCATTCGCTTGATATTCCTTTGGATTTGTTCCTCCTCTTTTTTAGAAGTTCTTCTTTACCACTGGTTGTGGTGAGCAGCCTCCAGGGTACAAAGAAAGAATTGCCAACTTTCAGTCCTCTCCCCTCTGCAGCCACGTGAAATGTTTATATGTACCAGAAAAACAAGTCCTGATTTTTCCCACTTAGCCTACACAAAGCACACAATTTGGAGAGACTCCAAGCCCTCTGAGCAAGGCACTTAAGACCTTCCCAGCCAAGGCAGCACATGTAATCAGCTTTCATGCAGCTTTAACTTTCTGAAACATTAAGTGTCCATTTCAGCAATTACTCTCTTACGTGGAAATGAGAAATGAGGTCAACATATCAACTGTGGAACAGGTATTTAAAAGAAAATCTGCAAAGTGGTGTTACTTGAGAACACACGAGTTTGTCCTTCCTTCCTGTTTTGCATCAAACCACAACACTCTCTTTTTTTCCGATTGTTCTTTACATATTTGTATAGTTAGGCTATACTCTCATTTTTTGACTGAATTTTGACTGCTATATTCTATAGTTTTCTGTACTGCCTATAGTGATACTTCTGATGAACACAGTGACAGCCAGTTTTCAACATGGGCTTCCCCTGTGAGCGCATTTGCTAATGTAAAATACAACTGAACATTTAAACCGAAACATGTGTCAGTTCTTATTTCACTCAGCAATGTGCCAACACGAATGCCTAAGCAGACCTGGCCAGCCTAGTAAATGCCTGTGTATGAACAATTGGATTCCTTTCTTGAAAAATACTCACCATCTTCTAGCTTTATCCACTGTGGGTTTTTTTTCCTTTTTAATTTGTTTCTAAAATATCATTTACTAAATCAAGAGAAACTTGTCTTTAAAAAGATTCTGATCCCCCCAAAACCCATCACTGCATTGTCTGCCTCGTGCCTCCCAAACAGCACACACTTACTTTTCCTGTGCAGAAACTCTGCAACGAGGGCTGCTACATGAACGTAACACATGGCTGCCTGCAAAGTACAAAGGGAAAATTAAAACGTCATCTGTACATCTGTCTTGTTGTGCACTATGTATGTTTTTAATTACATGAATTACCTCGGAAAAGTCTCCATTTTTCACATGTATCTTTGCCATACTGTCCAGCCATGTTTTCCGGAGCTCTGGGGTACTTGCATAAGACTTGGCTAAACTATACTGTAAATCTATTAGCATTTCTGGATCCTTTTCATGTTCTTTCATTTGAGCGGTAGCCATAAGCACTGTACGGATTCTCTTCGTCAAATCTTTGACTTCAGAAGGAAAAGCAGTTGCCTGACACAAAACAAATCTAATTAGAAGCAAATACAGAAATAAAAAGTATTCCAGGCTTTGCCAAAGAAAGACCATCGCTACCCTTTCAGCCAACACTCCACTTACTACCAATTTGAAAACGCCGAGGACACAGGAGATAAGACTAACTAGCTTTTACTTATTGAACTCAAACGGCATACAGTGTACAGTATTTCATATGCAATTGGAGGCATTTCAATCTGGGCACTCACACGGCCAATCTCTCCTGGTCATGCACGGTTGCCCAGTTGGCTGTTCCCGTGCCACAGTGAGGCAGGTACTTTGGCATCCTGAGGAGCTGGTGTGAGAGCGAGACAGAAGTGCTCCGTGCATGCCAATGTCTCAAGATGTGACTGTAAACTACATCTGAAGTATTTTTCATGTCATTCAACATCCAGCTTGTTAGTCTCTGATGTGGTCACTCTTCAATTCCTAAAGTACCAAAGGCATTTGTAGAGTTTCCCACCACAGGAATGTAATAGAGAAAGAAACACAGTCTGATCCCCTGCTTGGAGCAGGGCTGTCATTGAGTTAGAGCAAGGCTTGTCTGGTCAAGTTTTATAATCACCAAGGACAGAAATTCCACCTGCTTTCTGGGCCCTGCCCCAGGGCAGCACCATGTTCTGGGGAAATAAATTTTTTCTTTAAGTTGGAATTTCCCTTGCAGCAACTTGTACCCATTGCCTCTTGTCCTGCCACTCCACACCTCTGAGAAGAGCCTGACCTCCTTGTCTCCATAACTTCCCTTTCAGTAGTGGAAAGCAGCAGTTGGGTCCCCCCTCAGATTTCTCTCCTCCATGATGAGCCTGGCTCACGTTCCCTCTCCTCGGGCTCCTGCTCCCTAGCTCTCTCTGTGGCTGTGCACAGCATCCTCTCCAGTGCATTGAAATCTCTCGTGTACTCTTGCACTTACGTAAGTACATAAACTGGATATAATGACGGTCTCGTGATGTAAAATATGAGCAGCAAAGTATGGCTCAGTGAAACACTCATAATCACCTGTGTACAGAACAACACTGAGGTTTTTGCCAGGTATATCCAACTATAAATTTGTTATAGCACAATTCAATACCTAACTGAGGTGTTCCCATTCCACCTTTAGGTCACAGGATAATCACGGAACTGGAAAAACGCTTCCCATTTTCCTCTATCCTACCTTGGCAGCCATACTACTTGCAATGGAGCAAGCTGCAGTGATGATATATTGTTGGGTAGAAGCTGTTAATTCTAGTGCAAAGACAGACAATTATTTTCCAAAGAATTACAACCATTAATCTCCATGAAAGAGTGCTTTCTTAATATTACTGACACTCAATTAATTAAAATTAATTCCTGCTAATTATTACCTTCAGGCAACAGAAGTACCAGAGCCTCCCTTGTCATCCCTCTCAAAGCTGGAAGTTCTTGGAAAGCTCTTCAGAAACCCTTGCAAGCAGCACAATTTCCAAAGCATAACCTGAACTGCAGAGCTCCCTCCTCTTGGCATGAGGCCTCATGGATGGAGCATGACCTGTCTTTGCAGCTGGCCCTATTGCTGTTGGCATAATGCTTGTTTACTGAGCAAACACAGCCCACTATGAGCTTATAAATCACAGTTATAAACATTAGCCTTACGCTTAAACATGATTTCCTTCAGCGTGTCCCCAGTCTTGCATTACTGGCTGATAGCACATGATGTGATTTAGTATCTCCAACTTACCTTCATAGGCCTGTCACTGTTTGCAAAGTTGTTAATGATGAGCAAGGAGTCCTGAAATCTTGTTCCACCGCTGAGTGCCACATCTGCTATTAATTGGCTCACTGCAATTATTATCTGTTGGGACAGGATAGGGGCTTTATTCAAACAAACCCTAATAGAGGAGTTTTATTGTCATAGTTACACAAATTGCTCACAGGAAAATATCATGTCTTTCCCACAATGTAAGCAATGGTTGTTGTGGCTTTGCAGTTGCATCTCCCAGGACAAATACTCCCCAGAGGACCAAACTACTTTGCTGAACAGCACTTTCACAGAATTAACAATATAACAATTATAATACAAATCCCTGTTTGTACAGTAATTACCTTCTTTCGTGATTCATTACAACCCAGATGGTATTCACCTGTCCCACTAGGCATCTAAATTTGCTTCAAAAAAAACAATGCTGCAAAAACAGCTCCAGGAAAATCCCTTCTCCTGCTTCAAAGGCAGCTCTTCTTGCTGTCCTTTCCACCTCTGCTCAGCTAGCCTCTGAGGCAGAGATGTGTTTTGTGTCTGTGATTCTAAAAACTCAACTGCTTGGAGTACTTGATGGCAGTGTATTTTACCTAAAGGGCCCTGGAAACAGGAATTAGGCAAAGCCTGGAAATCAAGAGGATTTTTGTCCATATAACAACGGCAAGATCCTCTGCAGATATGAGGTGACATAGTTATATTGATCTATCTGTTCCTTAAACCTGAGGCGTCCTGCTCTCTAGCTTTTCCCCAGTCACTGACCTGAAGATGTGTTCTCAGAAATGTTCTCCTTTTGGTGAACTCAAAGTTATTTCTCATCAGCAGATACAGAAGAGCTGAGGCTTCGTTCCTTGTGGAGGACACCTTGGAAGTGCAACACTTCAGGATCTCGTAGCAGAGGGCAGCACACATGTTCACTCTTCCCTTGAAAAATGCTGAGGGAAACTTCACAAGAAGCACGCAAATATTAGAAAACACACTACTAAATTATACCCACAGGGCTCAGATAGGCAGGGGCGTGGGGCAACACACTGGGCTCCAGCCTGGACAGCCTCAATAAAACTTCTGCCAGAGTTCTGAGCCTGAAAGTATTTGTGGGAACGAATTCAGGGCCTATTTTTAACCATGTTTCCTACAGCAATGTGAACTTTGCTGTCATACTTTTTGAGGATATGCTTGTGTACGTCCATCTATCCCCTCCCTCAACAACTTTTGGGTTCATTGCAAATTCTCACCAAATTGGACAGACAGAAGTTTTACGTACTTACAAAAGCCACAAAACCCAGCAGTGGAGCAGAGAGGAGCAGTCCCATGGACATTCCCACCATCTGGGACATCAGAAAATCCACTTGAGCCCTCCCAGAAGTCCGACCTTGCTGGGAAACATGACCTGTGATGCTCACACAGCTGCTTCTAAGTGTCCCCCAAAAAAAAAGCCTCAAATCATGCCTGCAGGCCCTCAGGAATGCAAACAAGAGACTTGCTTGTCCCAGAGAGCCTAAAATACACAGTGATCTGCTCTGGCCCCCCAGATGGAGCTGGCCCCAGGGAGCAGCAGGATCAAGCCAAACCGCAGCATGAGCTACCTCAGTTAGCAACACGGCTCAGAGATTTGCAGCAGGGTGAAGAAAAGCAGAAGGGGAAGACCAGCACCCCATACTGCCGTAGCCTGTTTATCACCTTACCAAACACCTACTTCCGAGCACGTCTGTGGGGACAAGCTCAGCTGTGCCTGAAAAGCAGATGGCTGCAGAGGTGCCCTGCCCCGGCGGGCAGCAGCCTGCAAGCAGGGCTCGCTGGAGCGAGGACCACCAGTGCGTGTGTCTGTCTGGCTGCGGTCATGAGCGGTGGCTGGTGGGAAGGGGGCACCATGCTTGGCTTCCTTCCACCTTGGCCACAGCAGGCGGGGTGCAGGGAAGCAGAACAAGGAAGAGTTTTGGGCTGGCACGCAGCCACCTCTGCAGGGACCTGGCTGGAGAGGGGTGATGCCAACACCTCCTGGAGGGAGCGGAGGCTGTTCGGGCATTACAGAGCGGCACTCTGCTCCCTCTGCTGAGGCTGGGGACCAGCCCCAGGGAATTTCCTGGCACAAAGAGACAACCATGTTTTCTATTTGTTCAGAGAAAAGATTTGCTCAGTTCATTCAAAACCCAATGGTCCTCATGGGGCACGGTCCATGAGCTACTTCTGTCTGCTCCACTACCTTCTCCCTGTGGGAGATGATAGTAAATACTGTTAATAGTATTCACTCACATCCTCTAAGTCAGAGCCTGGAGCTGTTACCGTGGCCCTCTACTCCTTGCATTAAGTATATATGATTCAGAAAAGCTTGTAGGTACTGCTGTGGCCACCACCATGGTGTGCTGGTGAAAGGGTCTCAAAACAGGAATCTCAAAATAGGAGCTGTGCCTAGAAAGACTACACCATTGGGTTTACACCGAGCCACACAGGTTACAAGGCAGAATGAAGACACTGACCAAATACTTGCTGTTCACTGCCTCTGGCCAAAAATATTTTCAGAAAAAAAAGTTAGAGAAAGAAAAGAAGCAAATAAACATCATCATAACACAAGACCAAGAAGATCACGTGTGCACTCGGGAAAGGAGCTATCAAGTAATTGCTGCCTCTTATAATGCAATCCTTCTCCCATAGTGAGATGGGGTCATGCTCAGAACTTGGTTTAGCCCGGAGCTGGCCACAGTGATGTGTGACTGGGCATGCACAGGCAGCACATGGGCACCCAAGAAGATACGGCTGGCACTTGCTCTCAGGAGGGACCACTGCTTGCTTGCAGAGGCTTTTCAGACATTTCCAACCCAATGCTAGGGAGAAAAGCTTTGCTTGGTAATCAGCTGCAGAAGCCCAAGATTCCTCTCTGCAAGCTCCCCTCCACACTGCACCAGCTCTGGAGGAAAACCTGTGCCCTGCTCATAGGGAACCTGCGTCCCCATGCAGCTCTTTCTGGAGACCGAGCCCAAGCAGATGCAATGGCTCCTGGTGCCAGGTTTGGGGCAGCAGACCCAAGGGTGTACGCCTGCTGGAGACCTGGCCAGGTGCTGCCTGCGGCTCGCCAGCTGGCAGGAGAACACAAGCTGGGGAGAGCTGTGAAACAGCACGTGTGGCGATTACTCCGCGTGTGCTGGAGGAGCACATTTCTGATCCAGCCCTAATACGAAGGGCCAGAGCAGGAGTCAACGCAGCGAGCAGCTCCTGGAGAGGCCTTAGCACAAAAGGGACATGAAGGCAGGGCAGCCACAGAGGAAGGCAGGACACGCCAAGTACCCTTCACAACTGCATGGGAGGCTGTAACGATGCTGCATCCTGACAGCACTAATGGGGAGGGACGGCACAGCTTGACATGGTCGGGGGGAATTGCTAACAGACAGGGAAAAGCTTCCCAAATCGGCTGTGGCAGGAAAGGAGCAAGGCTCTGCTGCCCTAGTCCCTCAGAGCCTGGGATTTGTGATGTCTCTAACATGCCCTGCTACTGTCAACGCATTGAGGGACAGGACGGGGATGGAGCAGGCAGCTACATGGGGTTTCCATTACTCTCACATCCACATGTCTGCTGGCACATCACATGCCCTGCTCTTTAATGCAGGGCAAATTATCTCAGCCCCTTCCTCTGTGCATGCTTTCCTTCATAACCTTTAATTTCAAGACCATTCCCAAGCATTTATATATGTATTTATCTGTAAGCAATGCTCTAAAAAGAATGATTTACTTGTTAAGAAAACCTAGAGTATAAAACAAGAGCAATCTAGCTTTTGTTGCTTTTTCCCAGCTGGTAAAAGAGAGGCAGCTTTCTTCCCAAATTCCCAGCACACATGCTTGCAAGTCGGATTCATTCTAACACCAAAGCCAAACGTGCAAACAATTATAGAACTTGTTTCTTCTTTGCTTTCTTGCGAAATTTCTTTTTTTTTTTTTTTTTTTTTTTTTTAAGTCTTTTGCCTATCAAGTAAACAGATTTAATTCAGAAAGAAAGATATTTTTAAGATAGATTTTGGGATGCATAATAAATGTCAGGAGTTTTTTCCCCTCCAGCAGCAATTTGCTGTGACCCTAGATAATAGGGAGATTCTTTTCATTATAATTATTAGCTACAGAAGGCCCTAAAAATGACAAATTGTCCATTCTAGCTGCGTCAAAGGTACAACTCACTTTTTGTTTTCTTGAAGTTCACGCTAATTTATAGTTAACAGTGATACGCAACCCAAAACAAAGCAGTGCAGCTTTCCTATTTCAAAATAAACTTGCAGGAAAACTTGCCATCCTTGCACTTGTCATGAAATGCAATGACCTCCCCCCCGCCCTCCCGGCTCTTTTATTGTCACTTTGGGCCTTAGAAAAGCCGGACGTAAAAGGAAGTTTGGAACTCATGTGGTTATGGAGCTGGCAAAGAAAACACTTCCTTATAGATACCATCTGCTGGGCTCATATCTTGCTTTTACAGAAGCAACACTGTGTCCTGTCATAGGGGAAATATGAGAAATTAACTGAAATCAATCTTTCATATCTTTGAAGACCTACGATGCCAAATTCAGCGTGGATTCAGGCTGACATAAATCCAAAAACACGACCCCACTGCCCATCCTTGCAGCATCCAAGAACGCAGCCTGTGTTGCTGTAATCTGCATTTTGGAAAATGAGCGTGGAATCTCTGAAGGGCTCCAGGTTTTGAAGGCTGATGGTGAGATCAAATTGAGCAGGTGTGCAGGTTTGGCTTCACATTTAAACAACCACAGAAAATTTGCCAGGGAGGTAAGGAAGGTCTCTTCTTTACTATAGGCACAAAACAAGTATTTCTGGCTAAACAAACTTTTGACTAGTAAGGGGAAGAGATGTGCAGAGATGGTGTCTGAGTGGGGTGTGTGCAGATCTGCAGCAGGATGGATCTCAAGGCTAAGCAGATCACAGGCAAGCAGAAAACTGAAAAGAATGGTAGAGCAATAAATGTGTATTGGATCCTGCAGAAAAACCTGAGTGATTCCTGCCAGTGCCAGCTGCCAATCTAGCAGGCTTTAAGAAGCCCTGTGGAAAAGCGTCTTGTAGGAGACCATGCTGTCTGGAGCCAGACAGGTAGCTAGCAAGACTTCTGCATTTTCTACTTCTCATGTGTTTGCTTAGGACAAACCAAAATTCAGCCTAGACATACTCATACCAGCTCTTAGCTTTGCTGCGGGGTTACAGTAAAATGTACGTAGCACAGACCTTTTCCACCTTTGAAAAACAGTTTAGCAGTCTCTTTCTTTAATCAAACTTTGCTTGGCAACTACTGCAAGACCTCCTTTGGAGGTAAGACTTTGCTGCATATCATTCACATACTGTGCTCTGCCTGGCTGCAATCTCACACCACATGGATTTACCCCATTAATGAAGTGCTGCATTCAAGTGATTTGAGAGGTTTTAATTCATTCTGATTTTATTCTAACTGTGCAGCTTGGAAGGAATGGAGTTTGCATGTACATCTGGTCTTAAAAATGTACTTACGAGAAGCGGCAGGTTTTGACAAGCCTGAAGAGAAATGTCAGCAATAGCATCAGTCACTGCTGTTATGTGGTCAGCTGCGGCTTTGATGCTGCTTGAGCTCAGGGGATTAAACAGCCTTGCTGCGTACCAGGACTCAGAAAAGTGTAGAAAGAGGTTCAGCAAGTACTACCCTCTTTCAAACGCAGTGGGAGAGGAGCAGATTGTCAGCACAAGTATTATTCAAGCAATAGCATTGTCAGCAATATTGACAGTTCGGGGTAAAGATTCAAGAAGCAGTAGTTTTCGGTCAAAGATATATCAAGCTTTAACAGCAGTTTTGTGACCAAGGCAAGTGAGGGAATTCCTCATGATTTCTCCTTCTGTTTCCTGATATCCAACAAATAATAAATGATTGTTGAAATAGATAACTTAACCAGGGCTGTTTTTCAAAACAGTGAAGAAGTTGTTTTCTAAAACACATCTCCAAACAGCACAAAATATCAGTTTAACAGGAGTTTAAGCGTACTGGTCTCTTCTGTCATACCTATATAAATTCTCCTGCACCTTTGGAGTCATGTATTACATACCTTGCTAATGAAAGCTCTCAGAGAGGCAAACACATGCTTAAGAGCTGCTTCTGACTGCCCATTTTTGAGAAAGGCCAGATGAATATCAAAAACCTTCTTCATGAGTGGATTGTGGCCATCGTTGCTTAAAAGCTGGGTCTGGAAAGCAACAAGATAATTTATTTTGCAAAAATGTTGTGCCTGGAAATGACAGAGATAATTTTCTATAATTAATCACATCAATTCTTAAGCCAGATAAGGAACAGGGCCTTCAGTAAAAATATAACAAATAAATGTGACAACCAGTACAAACTTACACTAGTTGGTCAGAGGCTATTTTTATAGGAGAGAATGAAACAAAAATTTTTTATCACTTTTGCATCACTAATTCCAAAAACCTGACTCAATAATCTGTACAACTTTCACCGGTTGCCTAGAGTTATCTTAAATAAAACAGGCTGTTACCAACATAACTATCACACTGTTTTTTCCTTTTTTTTTTAATTTTTTTTAATTTGTCTGGACAAGTGTTTCATTTGCAGCCCAAAAAAGAGAGAGAGAGGAAAAAAAAACCCCACAGACTATCACATCTTTTCACTGGATAGATTTCTAGCTGTAGTAAGTCATGATGCTTCCTTTCTCTCCTCAAAGTTTTGACAGTTTGTGCCTTCTGGAGATATGATAAAATGGAATTACTTGGAGAAGATTAGTACAGTTTGGTGTCAGATTTATCTTGTCTGTGCCTGCTGTTATCCTTGCAGCCCCTGCGCAGGAAGCCTGGTGCATCATGGCCACCTAGCAAGGATGTGGATGCCCCGTATCGATAGGAGATCAATAGTTCCTATCTCATTGCCAGTCCAAGCAATCCTTGGGCTGGCTCAGATTTGTCTTTTGACATCCCATACACATCTTGTAGCAGGACAAGTTTAGGATCCATACTTTTTAACTGAACTCATGTACTCTGACAGTAAGAACAGCATCAGCACTTGTACTGCACTATAGAGCACACTTTCGTGCGGTGACACCATACAACCATAAAAGTAAAGCAGAAGCCCATTAAAGCGGAAGGGAATCCAGTCTATCCTGTGGTTTGAAAATCACATTGTTTTGTGGTTCAGCCATATTCAAAAATAGGCAACTGAGAAAGTCAAGCAAGTTTTAACTCTTGCATCTAAATCCTTCTGCTGTTGCCAGACTTTTAAGGAGTAATTTAATGTATGCACCAGGATGGCTTTTTTGCTCTGTAACAGAAGCAGAGGATGTGATCACCTTTCTCTTCCTGTTGCTCAGTCCATCTAAAAAGGAAATCTTCATTGTGCCTACTCTGAAATCTGGACCTGTTCTTTTGACATTACGCAAGACACATTGCTATATGCAGGATTCCTCCAACCACACTTTAAGGAAGAGCTTTTCTGGAACAGTATTTCAGTATTTTGGTGTCAGCCTGGAGTTCTCTTTACCACCGGGGCTTTGATTCTCATACATAATAATGACTGCCAGGAGTATGAATCACTATATGGAGCAGAAGACTTCTACCAGTGGTACTGGTCCTATTTGAACTGGTAACCACACCTGGAATGCCTCAGCCCCAGAGACATTCATGTACAGAGATTCAAAGAAATCTGGGCCTTGCTTCTAGGCAATTTATGGTAGAAAACAGTGACTGTTCTAAGAATGCTAGACCTTCATTTCCCTTTCCTCTAGTCCCTCCTTTCTATATGATGTAAATTTCCTCTTATTCTATTTTTGTAATGCCTCCACTCATGATATAACATCCACGTAATTTTCTCTGGTCTTGCAGTTTTGAAGAAATTGCAAGATTGCCTAAGTGCATAATTACTCTGAGACACTGTGAAACACTCAGTGTTTAGGAAAATAAACAAGCTGCAAATTATTTGCTTTCGTAAAGCCTTCCATAATCCGCCACTCTAGGAGAATGGATCACCAAAATCAGCATGCATGCAGAAATACACACACTTTTCTACAATACTTTTGATTTCAATGCTGACCTTGAAACTCTGAGTGAAAAAAGAGATGGTGTCCAGTACTGTCAGGCATACTTCGGTGGCAATATTGCCCTCCAGTAATGCCTGGTGCACAATATCTGCTTCTGAGGTGCCTGCATCTGTGGACGGAAAGCAAATCAGGAGGAAACAGCGTTCAACACTCCAGCTCCCACAAGATCTAAATGCTGATATAGATAAGGTTCTCCCCTTGCACGATACTGGATTTGGGAGATGAGGTAAGAATAACAAGATGCTGAATTTGCCAGCACCATTCACAGAAGTTGCCTCAGCCTGATGCCAACCAAGAAAACCAATGTCAGTATTTCCCCTTAATCTCACTGTCTTTAAAGCCAGACAGAGAATGAGGTGTTCAAGTCGTATCCACAGAGGGGAAATGGCAAGGTGCTTCAATGGGGCAAAACTCACCCACATGGGGAGGCTTAGAGCAGATCCTGGCCCAGGTCTCTGCACAGGGCAGCTCTCCTGCCTGCCCTGCTCACTACCCAAACCACGGCACCACCTGCACACACACTCAGCCAAGGAACTGAGCCAAGACAGCCGAGAGGAAAAAGCCACACAAGTCCTCAGTCCCAGGGGTGATTTTTAAGGGGCTGACTTAAATGTTACCCCCACCAATCTAGGAATGTTGCAGGGAGGAGCGGTAACCACTGTAATTCTGCAGTTTGAATATCCTGAAAAAACAAGCAGCAAGTGGAAAATGGCTACATGCAGTTTTCAGGAGGCTAATACTCCACGGTCCATCTCGCTCTGTTGTACATACTGTGGTTGAGAGTGAAGGAGGTCTCCAAGCTGCCCAGATGCTGGAGCCGCACCTGCATCCCCCCAGCTCTGCTGCGGAGCGCTGGCATCGTCTGGGATTTCCTATCAGCTCCTGTGTGCTTGGATAACCAGGCGTCATGCACCCTGCAAGGGGAAGAGAAGACTGTGGGTTTGGAAAAGCAGCAGCGTCCGCACCACTACAGAATTACATGAGGCACCAGCATGGACACCTGGCCTCGCTCCAGCGTACTAATCTGGTTTATCCTGGACAATCCCAGCAGGACTGACCAGGCTACCCTGGTCTTGCCCGTGCCAGGTGGCCCCAGAGCTAATGAAACAGCAGTGCTGCTGCTCCGGGAGCAGAGATGCAGCCGTGACTCGTGTCTCACCTGCAGCCGACTGTGGGGGACACTGCCAACCTACGTAGGCAGCCAGGAGCGCCTGGGTCTGGGGGTCTCATGCAGGAGCTGGAGGGGAGGGAAGGGGCAGGGTGCTAAGACGAAGGGACTCTGCTCACAGCATGGTGCTGAGCAGAGTCCCAGGTCCACAGGCTTCCTGCCTGCTTGGGTTTGCCCAGCGTGGGTGTGCACGCTCCCTTCCTGCCTCGGCTGCGGCAGGGAGTACAGGGGTGCCTCCCCCACCCTGGCCCCAGATGGAAGAATACAGTACCTGGCAATATTTCTCTTCCCCACGTATCTGAAGTGAAATAAACACACCCTAGAATGAAAAGAAAATAGGTATCTGCTACAGACCCTGCAGATCAAGTACAATCCAGAACATTTAAAATCTACCGTGTCCTTGTCTACAAACACACTCCTCTGTACATGAGGGTTTGGGTCTGTATTTACAAGTCACTTGACCTCACACCCTCAGTTTCCAAACCCTATGGCACATTCCTGTCTCCTTGCTCATCTGTTCCACCAAACTCGCTGCAAAGCGGAGGTTGTACCGCTTACAGTGGGAGGCTGTGCCGTGAGCTCTGCTCGCCCATGTGTGGTGGAACACCCTCTGCACAGCCCGGACCGAGCACAGGACACTGACACTTCACTCTGCTCCCTCGATATAACCCGGTTTCTCCTCAGATGGAGGAAAGGCATTTCATTACAACCTGGCCAGACACCTCCAGTGCTGCACCCTCCAAAGCACACCGCACTCATGTCTTCTTCTTGGCCAACGCTGCCCGCACAAAGGCACAGTGTTTGTATTGCAGCCTCATGATACTCACTCCAGAAGCACAAGGACATTGATCAGCTCTTGGGGGGAGAATTTGTTCCAGTAAGCTAAAAGAGTATCTGAAAGAAAAAACAGTGCACTGAGATTTAAAAAAAATTAAAGGGGGACCAAAACTACCTGTGATGGTCTCTTGTCTTTCTGGCTGCCTCAGTGAACAAGAGCCACCAACCTTCAGAGATCATCTTCACAATGTAGAGGTAGCACATCAGGAGTGTCCGGATCTCAAATTGGTCCAGGCGGCTGCACTGCGACATGCTGCTCCTCGTGGAGCTTCTGCGGATCTAATGGGACACAGATGTGATGTGGAGGCCAGTGGCCCTGGGTGCCTGGGCTGTGCCCGAGTGGAGCACGGGGCCAGATGCCATGCAGCATGGGCACAGCAAACACAACACATACCAGATGTGCCAGCATTCCTCCTGTTCCCCTTACATGTGCATCCGCACAGTACCATGCTTTGGAGACATCTCATCCTTTGGGGATGCTCCCCATCCACTGATGAGCAGCCTGGAAATCCAGGACACATGGCCAAATGCTTCTCTGCCCAGAAAAAAAATATGTCTGGGCAGAGAATGATGGCTTATCCAGCAAAACGCATGGCAGCCCTGCTTTCACTTCCCCTGCTCTCTGCAGCGTCTAACCTCCCAGACATTTCTGAAGTCATTTCTTGTCAAACAAAATGGTTCATCAGCTGTCACAGTTTAAGCAAGAATCTAACTTTCTGTTAAAGAACGTTCACTTCAAAACAAAACGTCAGTTATTAAAAACCCAGGAAATTTCAGCTTAAGAAAAGAACTTTTTCTCCCCGCCCTGATTTTTGGAAGTGTCTTTTGTTTTTCCTCCTAGTGAATCCATCTGTGTGGGAAAGGCTTGGGCATTGTGCGGTGGAAAACACTACTTCTAAAGCATTTCCAACTTTTTTTGCAATCTCTGTGCTTGCCCTAGCTGTATCCTCTGACAAATGGGTGCAGGACACTTCTCTTAAAGCTGCGCCTCACATGTTTGGACAGTGATCCACAAATCTTATTTGTTGTTTATTCTGGGACAAGCTGTGGATATGAGTCATAATAAAAGGGAATTAAGCATTCAGTTTAGAGTTGGAGACACAGTGCTATAGCCAGAACTTTGCTGTTGACCATGCTAAACTATCACGTCAGCACACAACTCACTCCAGGGGAACCAGTGATAAGGAACGTGTCTGCCTCTGTAGAGCAGCGTTAAAGCTGTGCTCCTCCACATGGCATTGCTTTTACACGGTTTTGCGGATATTGCATTCCCCAACAAAAAAAAGCTATTTTCAATGATGCTGAAAAACTTACTTTCAAGGACACAAAAGAGGATGTCTAGCTATGGGGAAGAGCTGAGCTGCAAGAGATAATGCTTTCTGCAAACCTCGCCAGCAGGGTTGGAGCATATGCTCAGAGCTTTGCTGAGTATGAACAGTTTGATAGTCAAGTGTTTGGCTATACTTGGTCTTGTAGCTTCGTGATTCATGTGGGAGGGCTTGAAAGGCCCCACCTCTCCTAAGCACGTCAGGACACAGCCAGCAGGAGCCCAGATAATCTTTGCCTTGCTTGTTGTAAGGGCCAAAGTTTTTCAAGATGCATCAATGATTCATGCCAACCCAAGACATCCAGAAAGCGCCTTGAGGAAAACCAGGGGCTGGTTTGCACAAATACCTGATTTCCATGCATGCAATCTGCCAACAAGGAGAGTACACCCTGTCTGAATAGTAGGGTCAGAGCTCTTTGTGGTGTGACCACGGTCACCTTCTGCAAGTTTGGGGCTGTGGTTATTAGCCTGTGCTGATTTTCCTACAAACACCTCATCTTCTCTTAAGTCAGCAGTCACTGGCAATCTCACATCATGGTGCTTTGCCTCCCAGCTGTGTGTGGAAACCAGTTCCCAGCACCATGCACTGGGCACTGGCCAGGCTTGGACCCATCCATGCACAGGGAGCATGCATGAGTATGGATAAATGCACCATGGGAGCAGAGATTTTCCCCGTGGATTTTGCCTTTCATCTTTGATAAGCAATTTGTCAACAGTTATATTTTTAGCTCAGAGATGTCTGAAGAGAGAAAACATACCAGACCCGCGAGTCTGACCTCCTCTGTTAAACATGAATCTGTTTGTTTCCAAACAGAGATATTTATAAGCTGGCTTTTGAAAGCATTACCATGGGGAACTCCTTTTCCCTTCCTCTTATTTGATGTAGCCCACAGACTGGTGCAGTGAGCACTGTTCTTTCTAACCCCAGATACGTTACATTTTCACTCTGATCCGGGGAACTGGTTGCCCCCTCCGAGTTCAGGGATCCTTTTGAGTCTTCTCGCTTTATTGCATGCCCGTTTGGAAGTGCTGCTCCGCAAGCTGGAAAAAAACCCAAACCCCACAATTAACCCCTTTGCACTGGCACTCCTCAGCATATCATGGACAGTGAGTGGAGGATGAGATTTGGACAGCACAGATTGGGCTTCACAAAGCTCCCATGTCAAAAGCTGATTAATCTGGAAAGGTCAGTTGGGGTGACACCATGTCCAGGCAAAAGCACACAAACTTTGAGAGATCTTTTGGCAGATGACTATTTCAGGTTTTGGGTAACGCGTTTTGGGGCCTGGTAATAGTTACGTTCAAAATAAATGGGAAAGTTAAAGTTTTGAAAAATTAATTTACCTGGATCTTTGTCTGCAATCAGGCTGGATCTATTTGAGGGAGATGCAAAACTGCACATGAATTCATCCCTGGATGCCTGTAAAGCAATACAAGTTTTTTTTTGTGACCAAAGGAATATAATACCTAATCTCTTATAGAAGAGAATAATAAAATAAAAAAAGGCAAATTAGAGCAGCTTTTAAAACGCAGATGAAAAATAATCTACTTCCATAACAAGGATATAAATGACTTGGGGAGGAGTACAAAGAATAGCAGAACATCCTAAAGTCATAGCAGTTTTTTCCCTTTTGTTTTTCATCATTTGAGTTGAAATTTTGAATTGTTTTTCTCAAATATGTTTTTGTTGTTGCTGTTTTGCCCCAAACAAGGAGGAAAGCCTAGTCTGCAAGGCTAAGCCTGCCTGGGAATCACACACAACCCTCAGGCAGACAGGCAACTGCCCAGAAGAGCTGCTGGAGTCTGAGGCTGAGCCCTGTTGCAACTCATTGCACTTGGAGGGACGTACCTTACCTCACGGCACTATGCATACTGTAAAGAAACACGTTAAACAATAGCAAACAAAAAGGCAAAGACATTGTACCCAGCGCTACAGACAGAACAAAGTCAAAAGAGAAGCCAAATGAAAAGAAACAAGCATATTACAGGGCTGTGGGGAGAAGAAAAACACACTTCTTTCTAAAGCCAAGCCTGGCTGCAGGCAGTGGAAGTTGCACGGGGGTGTGTGGGGAAAGGAGGACCGAGGAGGAGGGCAAAGAGGCATCGCTGGGCTTTACTCACGGGGCTGGAGGCGGCTGCGCAGGAGTAGAGAGCCTCGCGGCTGGCCACTCGCTGGAGGTTCTCCAGGAGCAGCCCAAACAGCGGCAGGTAGAGCTGGGCTATTTTGGCCTGCTGGTTCTGGAAAAAGACAGGGAGAAAAATGTAGGTGAGAGCCCAGGCTTTCAATGGAGTGAAACAGGGAGTCTCTTGAGCCAGAACACATATACATATATATATAATTTTTTTTTTCCACACATTGTATATGGTGTCTGAGGACACGGGTTGGGTTGGCTTCTCATCTCCACTTCCAGAGCTGTCAGGTAGGTATTACGCTTCTAGCTTCAAGCTTGGGACACTCAAGGATTTTGGGGGCTGAAAAACATTCCCAGTCATACAGGATGTGTGACAAACTAAATCCCAGATTTCCTAACTCTTTAGCTGGCACTTCACTCGCATAGCTTGATTTTCAAGTGCAACGCCCAGGAGTAATGAAATAAAAACATTTGCTCCTTGCCTTCCAGTTAAACAGTTTGTAGGAACAGATTAATTTGGATTAAGTGACACAGATCAAAAATGGTCTGGTTGACGTTTTCTAAATGCAGGGCTCTTTTACATCAAATTCTTTTTTGTTAAAAATTTATTATTCTGGACTTGACAGAAATGTTAAAAACCCAGAAATTTAAGGCTTGTGAATTGAATGGCACATTTTGACTACTAGAAGAATCCAATTTTTTCTTCTGATTCAGTATCACAAAAGATAAAAGAAATATTGAAAATGCCCATGGGTTGAGAAAACCCTCTCTCAGCCATTGACGGAGCTGGGGTTTCCTTGGCTGGAGTGAGACTGCAGCAACAGACCCTGCCACGCTCAGCCTGTCCTGCCCGTGCCACGATTTTTTGCTTTGGTGTCTCGGGACACCAGGTGAGCATCTCACCCTGGCTCCAGGCAGTTTCCTGGTCACGCAGCTGGAGCACAACACATGTACAAAACTCCAGTGGGACAACTTTAAGACAGGTGGTGTTTTTAAGGAGGCAGGGAGAGTGCTGCACCTCGAGGGGGTAAACAGCTCCTGAATTAGTGTGAGGATTTTCAGGCACCCAGAAGAGCAGAAACAGCCTGTCTCTGACCCAGTCTTGGCAGAGAGCTGGCAAATCTCTCCTCAAAAATCAAGTCTTGCCAACTACCATGGGCTGCAGTTTTTGTTTCTAGGCTGTGCAAGTCACCACGGATCTTCACGGCACAGAAAAGCAAACCCACCTCCCGCTCAGCCCTTCCAAACAGAGAAAGAAGGGAGAGGAGAGAAGCTGGCTCTGGGACCAGGCAGAGCGCAGGAGCCCTGGGCACATTCGGGTCACTTCTCCCACCCTTCATGCCCAGGAGACTATCCACACTCCCAAATAAAACTCAGGAATGCAGCACACTAGAAGCAATTTGAGGAGCTAAATTCTAGCAGAGGCATGTTTTCAGCCCAGAGCAAGGACAGGAAGCGTCTGCACAGGCAGCTGGGCACTTTCAAGGATATACGGGTCAGCAGGGTGCAGCATCAAGAAAGAAAACAAGCCCATCTCCAGGCTGTTTCAACAATACCACACGCTGAACCTCTGACCAAAGTTAGCTTAAAGCTACCCAGCAGAAACCCAGCATCTCATAAGAATCCACAGATCCTCTCCTCTGATTCACTGATTAGTAAAACACGCACCTGACTTGTAACAGAGATCAGTCCTGTTTCCTAATTATAGTATATTAATGCAGGATATTAATTTAAACTCAAGACCAGAAGAACATTGATGTTGCTTAATTTTGTTGAACAGCCTCTCAAGTTCCTTTATGGCTCAGGGCTTTATTATAGAATCATAGAATGGTTTGGTTGGAAGGGACCTTCAAGACCATCTAGTTCCAACCCCTTGCCATGGGCAGGGACACCTTCCACCAGACCAGGTTGCTCAAAGCCCCATTCAACCTGGCCTTGAAAACACTCATCCACAACTTCTCTGGGCAACCTCTGCCACTGCCTCACCACCCTCACAGGGAAAAGTTTCTTCCTAATATCTAATCTAAATCCTCTCTCTTCCAGTTTAAAGCCATTGCCCCTTGTCCTATCACTACAGGCCCTTGTAAAAAGTCCCTCCCCAGCTTTCTTGTAGGCCCCTTTAGGTACTGGAAGGCTGCTCTAAGGTCTCCCCCGAACCTTCTCTTCTCCAGGCTGAACAACCCCAACTCTCCCAGCCTGTCTTCATAGGAGAGGTGCTCCAGCCCTCGGATCATCTTCGTGGCCTCCTCTGGACTCGCTCCAACAGGTCCATGTCCTTCTTGTGCTGAGGACCCCAGAGCTGAAGGCAGTACTGCGGAGGGGGGGTCTCACCAGAGCGGAGTAGAGGGGGAGAATCCCCTCCCTTGGCCTGCTGGTCACGCTGCTTGGGATGCAGCCCAGGATACAGTTGGCTTTCTGGGCTGCAATTTTCTAAATACACAGCATGAATAAGAGCGCTGCAGTTATCTGACTGTATTGTTTGTGTTCCTAGATAATTTCTCAGAGCTATTACTGTTATACCATAACTATCAGTTACTTACAACAGTTCCCTAAAAAGTAATGAGACTACCATTGGTGCACCATGCAAGATCTAAAACTCTGAAATGTTTTTTCATAAAATTCAAGAACATTAGGTTTAAAAGCCAACAAAATATGCCTGACCTTGTGTTGGTATCTGTTGTCGAAGGCATGCTTTATCAAGAGATTTTTTAAGACTGAGATGGCTGTATATCTGATATCGTAGTTGTCCTGCAAGGCAACAGAGGCTTCTCTGAGAAGCATCCCCACCAGGAAATGATGTCTGCAATACTCATCAGTTAAACTGTATTCAAGATTTACATCTGAAAGAAACAGCAAAGCAATAGTTAAGGAAACTGTTATGAGGATCTGTTCAGAGCAAGACATATTGGTCATGTAAGCCGCAAGTCCAGTTCATCACTCTCTCTCCTGCACTGCACTGATCTTTCAATAAAGCCTGAACTGACTACAGTTTTCTCCACCACTGAGTTAAGACATATCAAAGAATTTGGCATCTTCCAGTTCAGGCTGATCATTAATTTCAGCCCTCGACATTTCAGCAGCAGCCAAAAGAAAGATTTCTGCAGCGTGATGCTTTACAAAGCTTAGCACTCCAAAGAGTAATTTGTAAAGTCAGAGATGGATGAAACAGGGAAAGACAGCATGACTTACTGCCTTTGGGGGTTGCTTTGCTCCTGACTGGGGCTTATCCTGTAAATCCCCAAACTACCCAAGCAGCTGCGAGAGTGGTAATGGGCAGTGGAGACAGTGCATTTATCATGGTCGCCCAGCCCTAGCAGTGCCATCTGTGCAGCTTGTTCCACATCCTCCATGAAATCTGCATTCCTTCTCACCAGGTCAGAGAGCAGAGAAAAGGCAAATAATCCTGCTGGGATGAGGGATGAAAACAAAGACATGGTGCCAAGTGACCACCACTGCATCCTCCAGCAGGTCACACAGCTGAGCATTCCAGCCCCGCTGCAAGGACCAGGGAGCCAGGGCAGGGTTCCAGGCAGCTGCTTGCCAGAAACTGTGAGACTCCCTTAGCTTCCCATCAGCAGATATTGAACACAGCTCTTTAAAAGCTGCACTAACTGCCAGGAGAAAGGCAGCTCAGTACCTAATCACCTTGGTTAACTTAACTTGTGCCCTGCATCTCACACAGATTTGGGCTATATACTGTCATGAAAGGAGCAGCTGCTACAAGGGTAAGGCATCATTTCCACTGACGTGCCTGGATAACGCGGCAGAGAAGCAACAGAGACACAGATTTCAGTGCAGGGTGCATGTGCACTCGGGCTGCTGTGAATGACCTTGCCCTGACACCATTATCTCTGCCAGGCAACTCATATACCTAATCAGAGCCGCAACAGGCACTGTTTGACTGTTGCTTTAAGCCTCTGAGAGGGATAACCCCAAAGCTGTGCATTCTTCCCCCAAAGTGTACCAATGCTGTGTGCTCAGCTCAGACTTTTTTTTTTTTTTGAAAACCCCACAGGTGTGAAAGATTTTCTGCAGTAAGGCAGGGTGCATACACACAGCTTTGAAAATCCCAGCCAAAGGGTTCCAACAGCTCTGTGGCTGCAAAAGGTATTTTTAAGTTTGTTGATTCATAAGTAGCATTTACTGGTTTGTGAAAGTCTGATTCAGAGGAAAGAGAAAGCAATCTGGAGCATTATCTAGCCTTCATTGTTAGTCATGTTAGCAAATGCCTAAGTGTCACACATCATGGTTATTTCATTAGTTGGATGCAAGCTAAGTGATTGGAAGCTGTGTATTTAATTTGACATTAGAGGATTCAGTGATTCCAGTTGGACCTACCTACTGAAGTGAACCGTTCCACAGCAAATGAAAAAAAGTCTAATTCATGTGTAAAAAGAAAAGGGACAAATAAAAAGACAGCAAAAATAAACAGGAATAAGTAATGCTCTAAATCTTGGAGAAACAGGACAATACACCATGTTTTAACATTATTTGTAGGGCTATTGCTTAGCTCCCAGCTTCTGTCAGTCTCTTGGGTTCTTTGCTATCACAAGATTGCAAAAACTATTCTGTGCTGCTGGCTGTGAGGACAGGCTTGGGGGTTTGCTCTGGCTGAGGAAACACACATATTCCCCAGGTGAGGGAGCAGGGACGCAGACAGCAACCAGCCCATTATTAGCTGAGACATTTCACAGAATCACAGAATGATCGG